GCCATCATTTGGATTTATTAATAGCTGGCCAATGGTATCAAGGTACAATAAGTCTTGCAATGATTCTCTCAACGATATTAGCAGTGAAAGCAAAGAAGAAACACTGCTTGAAGCATTTGCTAATGGTGGACATAAAATTGATGACTTTGTTGTTTACTGTGGGTTTGCTGGTAGTGATGGCAATATTGTTAGGTGTGAAGAATCCTTAGAGCCAGTTTTTACTTCACTTGGTGTGTGTTTCATATTCAACAGTGCATATAATGGTCAACCTGATCGTAAGGTTACTCTTGCTGGGCCTCAGTTTGGATTGAATCTTGTTCTCAATGTCAGTGTATCAGAATATTCAAGGCTGAGTAGCTCTAATGTGGGAGTTAAAGTATCAGTTCATGATAGGAATTCTATACCAGTCCCTCATCAAGTTGGAGTAACTCTCTCTCCAGGAAAAAATTCTTATCTGGCTATTGAAACAGTAAAGCATGTTGATAAGACCAGAGAATCAAAAAACCTTCGTCAATAAATCCTGCTATACGGTATGTTAGTGCCCATTCCAGTCTTAATTAGTGGTTATCGGGACGATAATGGTGTCCTTGTTAATAAAGGTACATGTATGTGTAAATGAAAGTGTGTTGATACAATAATAATAATTATTATTATTATGTACACTACCCTATCAATGTAGTAATAGGCAGTAGATAGTTAATACGTGTAGGTTATAATTATTTACTTTCATTACATGTAGTGTTTATTGAATGTGTTTATTTTAGGTGATGATAGCTCTCAGTGGCAGTTTGTGAGACGTTTCTATACCCACCAGTCAGTCACTGGCACTCCATCATATCTTGAATACACTAAAATCAAGTAAGTCTGAAATTAACTTAAACTTTAAACTCCCCAAAAATTTAATTTTGAATTTGCAAGCAGCTCAGAGTTTCTATACAACATAGAAGCATGTATAAAACAAGACACCTATGGTGCTTGGAGTCACTGTAGTTGCTCTTGCATTTATGCACTATTAAAAGTAATGAATCATGGGTTTCATTTTTATCATGTAGCATTATAGAGATAAAGACCATGATTTATTACTTGAATAGTCCATGTTTTGCATCGAATCAAATCAAAATAGCTATAAAAATAACACCTATTATGATGGCACAGATACCGTTTTCTTGATTACTTAAGGCAATTATGCATAAGACAGCAAATAAGCAGCTAAGATTCTTAATGCAAACGTAAAAATTGCCAATTATTAATAGAGGTGTGTCTTCTCTTAGCATGACATGTGACTGAAGAAGCTTAAGTTTTTTTCTTCTCATGAGGGACTTATGATAGAAAAGATGGCACAATACTGCTGCCTAGACAGATGTGAGTGAGTTGAAAGAGTTTAGTACCTCTAGCCTACCATAATTCCGCTCCAGCCCTTCTCAAAGTTAGCCGGGATGAAGTTTGAAGGCTCATAAGTTGCTACCAAGTAGGAGTTAAGAAATTCTACACATATTAATGAAATAGAAGGTAATAATCTACTGGAAAATGATTTTATCAATGTCAAAAGTGTCAGCACATTTGCTGTATTTTTTTAATCAAATTTTCTTACTTTGTAAGCTTCTTCTCCCTGGTGCTGCTCTTTAGACATTATTAGATGATAAAGAAAGTCTTTTACCAGCTGTAGAGAAAGATCTATAAGCCCAGAGTATGTGGTTTAAAGTTATATATTTTTAAAAAGACATTAAAAATGGACAGAATGAATGACAGACAGACAACCAAACTACCTAATACCCTCCTATGCGGCGAGTCCAATTATTAAAATGGAGAATTCTCTCCTTTTTATTTATGGCGAATTTGGCCAAATATTTTGTCTATAGTAGTACAAGGACTTTGGTCCAATTTTTGAGCAACTTATAAAATTCAATTTTGAACGGAATCGGTTCAAAGTACAACATAAATTTAAGTACATGTACATGTATAATGTGCATAGAATTCTGCCCTAGCCATTTTGATGAACTACAAAGTACTATAACAGCCCATATGATCTTATTAAAACTTTTTGTGTATGTCATAACTCATAAGGCCATTGTTAGGCTAATATAATTTACATGTATCATTGTACATTTTCAGTATACAGTTAACCAGTCATGGTCACATTCAGTCTCCATATCTTAGACTGTCCTTTAGGCTATACCTACCAATGATGCACAAGTTAGCTCACTTCCATTTCTATTATATTTTATCATAATTAATATTCCATTAATTTTATCTTCCCTTAACCTTCCCTTAGGCTTCATTTGTTGTTAGATACAGTGGAGGAAATAATGCTTTTAATATTGCTTTATTAGTAAGTGCATAAATTGACCCTCTTCTTTTATGTACACGTCTTTTCTCTCTTCTTGACAGGTAATAGCTAGTGTGTTTGTTATTCTAGCTGCATTCTATGCTGGCTAGTTTATAATTGCATTAATAAATACTAGAAAGAATTTAAAACATTGAGGGGCTCCGCCTCCTGACTGCACCTCCCAGTCACGCCCAGACGTACGTACAAATTCTTGTAAGTAAGGGCTTCGCCCAAATATTTTTTTCAATGGTTTTTTAAAAACTTTTAT